TTTCCATAAAAAGTATTTTACTTTGGTGTGTTTATTTTTCCACTGTTTACCTTTTGTGTTATAATAAAATTGAAAAGCATTTCTGTATTCCAATATCATCAGAAATTTTCTGTGATTGTTTTCCTAATGCTTGTATGGAATTGGTAGCAGCAATGGTGATGGTCAATGCCTGTGCACTTACTTATTTATTTATGACAGGTTTGCTGTGTTGCCCAAGTGAGCCTTGATACCCTGGGCTTAAGTCAGCTCACTGCTGCAGCCAATTATGTGTCTGAGACTACAAGATGCACCCTCTTCATCCCATTCCTGGCTCATGCATGCATTTAACACACACACACACACACACACACACACACACACACACACACACACACACGTAGTGTAGGCTGGTATGAAGACTGGGATTTAATATGACCATCATACATTAAATGCCTGTCCTGTGCTACTCTATACTTAGGGTTTATATGCATGCTTTGGAATTTTTCCCAATTAATTAATGTGTTTTTACAGACCTCCCCCATCGCTAGTTCTTTTTCTAAAACATTTTCTGGCTGGAAACAATCAAATGTCTGCTCATTTTTCAGGTGAGTTTCAGACTCAATGGTAGTTTACAAAGAAGGTTGTTGCTGTTTGCTATTGGAGCCATTACAGGTAAGAAAAAGAGCACTGTTCTGATCCCAAGTCATTCCTGACATTTGAATCCAAGAAGCTTTGCACAAGTTCAGTTGCACTTCTGTGTTCCCAGGAACACTGCAACATTTCCTCATATAGGTCATGCATGTGCATTGCTAGTTCCTATTTCATTTTTGCTTTGTTTCTACTGTAAATGTGCTTTTGCTTCATTTATTAGAATTATAGCTTATACATAAGGAAACTATTGCTTTCTTTGTGTTAATTTTGAAAACACATACTTTACAGTGTTGTCTTATTGTTTACTCTGGTTTTCCAAGTTAATTCCTTCGGGCACTATAAAAGTAAAATCTTGTTATCTGGAACTAGGATAATTATACCCTTGCTTTTACAGTGTTTATGTTCTATTTTTTTCCTTCTCCAGCTGCAAAGGGAAATAATGGTAGTAATGGGTAGCATCTTGTCCTGGCTCTTTGAATGTTTTCAGTGTTCCCCCTGCTACACTTACAAGCGCCTCCATCCCTGTTGTTCTTATTTTTAGGACTCTTTACCATGTTTTGTCCGTTGACCCAGTAATCCTCCTTTTGTCAACCATTCCAAGAAGCATTCAGAAAAACCTTTGCACATTATTGTTTATTATGGAACTGATTTTCTCGAGACTTAATTAGGAGTACCTCATAACCGAACAAGAGGAGAATGGTTAATGTGACTCTAACTCAACAGAACATCACAGAAAATAGTAGCATCATGGGAAATCATAACATATAACATTGCTTTTTTTTTTTTTTAAAATCACTATAAAAGTACATCCGTAGTTTGATTGCAACGCTCTGAATAATATCCACTCACTAATGGTAGAAAAGGAAGGATGGCTTGGTGTGATGACACACATATTTAGAATAGCACTGTGGAGACAGGCAGGTGGATCTCTGTGAGTTCGAGGCCAGCTTAGTCTACAGATTGAGTTCCAGGACACCAGAACTACATAGTGAGACCCTGTCTCAAAAAAGGAGGAGGATCTTTACAAAGATGTTAATGGTGGTTGTTACTAGGTAATTGTTCTGTTTTTTATCTTTTTGTTTTTTGGGATTTTTTTGTTTGTTTGTTTTTTGTTTTGTTTTGTTTTGTTTTTTGTCACCTTGACACATGTGAGAGTCATCTGAGAAGAGGGAACCTCAATTAAATGATGGACTACAATCTGTAAGACACATGATGGGCCACAAGTTGCTTTTGGTCATGGTGTTTTATCACAGCCATACAAAGCTAACTAAGCAACACAATGGCAAATAATCTTTTTTTCTTTTTTTAAAATTTTACACGACGAATTGATGTTTTGCTAGTCCGGGAAAGAAGATTTTTAAAATAAATAAATAAATTTGTAACCAAATTTAACAGCTATACTTGGGCCACTCCAAATAAGAATAAATTCGAGACATCACTGTCACGACACTCACTGGCCTTCTGAAGATGCACATCCATTTCAATGGACATACAACATTATTCATGTATGAAATCTATGATTGTCTAGATGTCACATTTAGAGTAAAAGGGAGCATGTAAAATTCATTTCAACAATACATTTTATCCAAGTCGGTGTGAAACCGACCTCTTCCTAAGTCACTGGTAAGTTTTAAACACTATTAAGTGAGTGTTTCAATCTCTTGTGATCACTTATTGTTAACTAATCCTTTACACTTGTATTGAAAGTATCCTTTCTAATGTTCACCTACCTGTAAATTAGACATATATTGGAGGATGGGGCAATGGGACTCCTTAATTAGCAGCTATCTGACTCTCCCTTGCTGCTCTTTCTGTATGAGCAGGGTGTTCAGTTACATTTACTGAACCAGCTGGGAGACACTCTCCTGCTCTATCTTCTATGATGTCACAACAACAGGTTCAATAAAGCCCCCTCTCTCACGGTCTGACCTGCTCTGAGTAGTGTAGGTTGGGCTAATGATACAGTAAGAAGCAGCAGGGACATCAGAGAGTGGCAACGATGATGCTAGAGGCAGTACAATGGCACTGGCACTAACAGCAAAGGGGTTGGCAGACCAAACTGAAAGCCGTTAGACAGCGAGCTGCTTTACAGTAGGCAAGAAGCAACTGAACAGTTTGCCTAGCTAGAGTAGAACAAAGGGTGGCAAGAAGAGGGAGACAAGAAGGTAGAGGCCTGGTGCTGAAGAGACAAAAGACTGTAAGAAGCCAAAGAGGAGAAGCAGCATCTGGCCATCAGAAGAGTGCCAAGAGCCATCAAGTCTTCGGGGCCAAGGCATCCCTAGGCTAAGAACTGTAACCCTGACTACTGCCAAGGCCTAATCATTCTAATACCGAAGGCTTCGCATGGAGACGGTGACACTAGAGCTTGGCCTAACATTGTCACTTAATGCCATCAAACACTGAGAGAAGTTCAAGCTGCAAGAAATCACCGGCGCCTGAAAGCCTACCCGTGCCCCCCATTCTGGTAGAGCAAAGGAATTCCTAACCAGCTGATTGGTGGCAAATGAAGCCCAACCATTATCACTCTCGCTTGGCATCGGTATAAGAATAGTAATGTTTCTTTTTTAACATTCTCTTTTCTTTCTTAGCTTAGACATCCAGTGTGGGTTTTATATTTATAATGTATCTTAGTTCAGAGTAGCCATACCTCACATGTTTTACAGCCACTAAGTGTTCATAGTAGCTCTGCAATGGGTAATCTTGGTCTGTTCCAAAGGGCAAGTTCTGACAAGGGTGTGTGTGTGTGTGTGTGTGTGTGTGTGTGTGTGTGTGTGTAAAGGACCAAAAAAAGTTCCTGCAAAATAGCAGAAATCATGAATGTAAGAACCATCATCTACAATAAAAATCACCCAAACCAAGATGCTTTATTTTGGGTTCCCAATGATCCTTCTCTGCTGTCCTTTACTGAATAAAGTGTCCCAGTCCAGATATAGATATTGTTATACTTTCTTGTCTAAAAGAAAAAGGAAGCAAACAAAAAATTTTCAAACTCTTGGGATGCAGGCCAGCCTAATATGATAGCCTTTAGTTAGCCTATGAATTCTTTGGGAGGCCTGAAAGAACTGCCCAAAGCTCTTCCTAGTTGCGCTATCCAGTAAGCCGTCTCCTAGCAATATGTGGCCATTTCACCGAAATGTAATTAGACATTTGGTCGTCGGCTGCCTCGGTCACATTTCTAGCACTGGGTAGCTGTGACTCAGTCTCTGTGTGAATTGTAGGAGAATCATACCCCAACCCCAACCTGACCATGAACTTCTCCATGAAAGACTCTCGAAGAGGTCCTTCTCTCAGGAGGAGACCTCCCCGACGCCAAGGAACAGGCCGAGACCACAAGGATGCAAATCGCAAGAGGTTTATTGGGTAAACACAGGTACCTGCGGGCAGCAAAGTCTTTCGGAGGACTTGCTGGAGGGAGAGCTTTTTATAGGGAAGAGCAAAAAGCAAGTTTACAGAAGCAGAAGCATGGTTACCGGAATGAAGCAGGGGGCATGAATGGTTTCCTCTCCCAGCGTGGATGTCTGGCAACAGTCATCCTTTTCCTATCTTATAGATATCCTGTTTTGCAGTCAACCTGCTTTGTTGATGTCCTATCTTACTGATATCCTGCCTTGCAGTCATCCTATCTCATAAACATCCTGCTCTCCCAAGCAAATGGGATGTTCTTACGAGAGCAGGCTGGCTGCTGATCCTGAGAATTTTTCAAGCAAACAGGATGTTCCCCCGGGAGCATGCTAGCTGCGGGTTTTGAGGAGGAGGTCTGTAGGGTCTTTCACTCCACAACTTGCTGCTTGCTGGCAGGACAAGGACCTAGGACTCTGCTCCATCTTAGGGTTCACTATATCACAGCATTATTTCCCACTGGCCCTGGCCTCCTTAGAGAGGCATTGAATTCTGTGGCTTAGTGCTCAAATGTGATCAAAGACACTACTACACCAACACTTCCATTCCCTATGCATATCTACGACAGGGCTTGCTTAGAAAAAAATAAAAACAGGTATAGACTGATGCAGATGATTTAAACTGGAGTTTTGTAGCAAAGGATAGGAGAGAGGGGAGGGGGGTTTCTTAGTGGCAGAAAGGGGAAGTTAGTTGTTTTCCCTAGATAAACTTCAGTCTCCACAAACAGCTGGCTTCCTGGAAATTTGAGCTCATCTGAGGGCCTTGGCTTTGAGGGGATCCCCCATATTTTGCTTCCTCTCAGGCACTCAACCCTGCCTCTTAAGAATTTCTCTTGGTAACTGTGGGCTCAGCTTCACAGGCAGGAAGTGAAGGATCTATCCTACCGCCACTGGATTATTTCATTACCTGCCCCCAATCCAGCCCGGAATAGAAACGCTCAAAACAACAGGAAAACGCCCCCTACACATCTTAGGCATCCGGGCAGAAATCGACCTCTCCACGCCGGTAAAGAGGCCAGCGCGCACCCGCAAACCGCGGGTCACGTGCGCGAACGGGGCCCGACCATCGAGTCAGTCCTCCAGCAGCCTAGAGCGGCCTCGGAAGTGCCCCCCGCGGCGCGGGTCTTTCTGGACCGGCTGTCCGCGCTTTTGTCCCGCCGGCGGCCGGGCTCCCGCGGCGCCGTCACAGCCAGTACGTGAGTCCCGGGCCGCGCGCTCCCGCCTCTCCCCGGCCCGCCACGCCCTTCCCTTCTCGGCTCTTGGGTCTCGGGCGGGTCCTGGGGGAGATCGTGACTCCGCACGCACCTCGGGAATCGTCCTCCAGGAGTGGAGGGGAAGGAGAAGCCCAGGCCGGGGCCCCGAGGGCTGCTACTGCGATCCGAGCTCGCCCCGGCCGCTGAAGGGACCGAATCCACCCCGGGCTCCTTGACTGTTCGTAGCCGTCTCGGGCTTAGAAAGGGAGGAGAAGCCCGATTATTAGAGCTTGAAATTTTGCCCTGATTGCGGTTAAGTTTGTGAGACTTAGAGGTGACCTGATTGGGTCACCCTTCCCCTTTATTTTGGTGGGAGAGGGGTGTTGAGAGACACCTGGGGTGTGGAAACAGACCCACTGGCGGGGCCTTCTCCTAGGAGATCACGTATAGACCAATGGGTGCGACCGGCGAGGGCCGTCTACCCGACTCCCACCACAGCTAACAGAGAAAGTGTTGACTTAGGTGAAAGCTTCAAGAAGTGTTGGGGCGGTGATGTAGAAGATAAACAGGGGCCAGATGGAGACGTGCCCAAGCTAGTGTGTTATCTTAAGATGCTTTATTTAGGTGGCCAGGACAGTTTGTGTACGCTTGAAGCTTGTGTGTGTGTGTGTGTGTCTTTTTGAATATGTAATGTTCATGCGGCCACGACACTAAAATATTAAAAGATTTTTAAACCAAAAATTTAATACAAAATATAAAAACATTAGATTTTCTTCCACTGTTCTCAGTGGTGGTCCTAGGCCCTATCTTAAAAGGTAAACACTTTTGTTAAGATCTTGACTAGATTAACAGGATTTCTTTATTCAAATACTAGCCAATGCGTAGTTCCTCTTATTCAGGCAGGTGGTAGCATAACAAATACTTCTGCTTCCATGTTTCTTTTTTTATCAGGAAACAGGTTTTTTTTTTTTTCCAGACCTGTAGTAGGTTGGCTATTTTGAAAAATATTTTAGGTAAGGATTGATTTGATAATCTTTGAGTTGTTCCTAGTGTTCTGATCTCAAAGGGTAGTATTTGGAATGATTCTGTACTAGAATAAGGATTGTGAAATTAGTGAGGAACTGAGATTAATAAAGTATTTTTTGTTTTACATTAACTCAATAAAATATGCTACATTACTTGCTTCAAGCAAGTCCCTGAGTGAGCCCTTAGCTTCAGAAAATCTCTTCACTGCCTTTTATAATCTTTTGCTTTCTTCATCCTTGGAGTAGCTAGAACTCTCCTCCACTACTATGAGAATACATCAGTATAAAAATCCCTTCAATCCTTATTCCTAATTTTTAAATAATAGGAACAAATCATGTTTGCCATTTATATGTGCTTTTTGTAAATTAAATACGAAAATAACCAGAGCACAAGCCATCCTCTTGTCTGTGTGGCTCTTCTCTCATATGGTTCCGTCTTCCATTTGCACCATCTAGCACTTAGGTGCTCTTGGTCCGCAATCTCTCTCTTAATTTCACTCTAGTCATCTGAACATGTCTGAATGACTTTTAGTCATTTGGATGACTATTATTCATAATAGTTATCAAATATGTTATCTGAGGATTTAAAATATGGAAACTCTGGATCACACCTGCGATATAAGACATCACCTTGTTTAATACAGTTAAAAGCCGGAAATTCAAAGTTGCGGCATGCATGTTGCACCTGTTTCTTCTTGCAGTCTCTTATTGTAGGAGCCGTTTTCCTCTGAACCAAGATTGCTCTCTTGTGAGTTGTCTCAACCTTTGAGAAGTAACTCCTCACTGACCAGAAAAGGGAGTAATTAGGTTCTTGCTGTCTGCATACACTTTTGTAGGACTTAGGGCTAGAATGCGAACAAGCACAGAAATAGCCCAGGGTTGTGAGTCTTACTAATTTGTGAGGGACAGAGACCTTTTCATGGTTGACTTCCACCGATGTTACCAGACTGATAAGGTCATGCTGTCTATCAGAAACAGCCTAGAAAGAGTTCCCATCTAATCTTGAGAAATTAAAACCTTTTTTGGTCCTTTCTAATCCTTTGTTAGAGGGGACACATCCATCTTATTGATCATCTTATAATAACTTCATCTTAGAACTCTAATTCTTGGTTCTTTTGCCCGTCTCCCAATCCATGCTCTCACTGCTTGGTGGTGGTGGTAGCAATGTAACCCTTAGTCCTAGGAGGCCCAGGCTGTGTGAGTCAAGGCCAGCCAGTGCTATAGTGTGGCGCTGTCTTGAAAAGAAACAAAAAGAAAAATTAAGCAAAGTAAAAATAATACTGTATGCCCATAGTTTCGGGGTTCTGCTACATTTTTCTCACCTTTGCCTTTTGTTTATTTCTTGGTTGAAGCATTTTGAAGCAAATTCCTGATGCTGTTTTTGTATTACCCACGTGTTTTAGTTATTAAAAGTGGCATATGCTCCTAACAGCTGTAGTGCCATTACATTACAGCCCATTTTAGCTTTGATTTTTTTTTTTAATATTTAGCAGCAGTAGTCAGACTACTGGGTTATTTGTCTACAGTAAGCTAAGTAACATTAATGGAATGTTTATAATCAACAGCATGGCTCTAAAAGATCTAAAGTATTAATACTTATCTGGCCCTTTGAAGAAAAATATTGCCAACCCTAGATTTAATAATGCCTGTGCTACTCCTTTACTTAAAACTCCAGAGGAGTAGATGAATTCTTCAGTTTGAGGCAGACCCTGCTGAGCCCTCGCTGCCCACCTGTCTGGTTTCACCTGCTGCTCTATGCTCCAGATGTCTAAAGTGTTAGGAACATTAAGTCTCCCTAGTGTGCTCTCCTGAAGTTCTTAGTTCTTCAGGGTGGAGGTCAGCCCTCCCACCTTTTCTGCTGTCAGTGCTGATGCTCTCTGGGTTAGACCTTATTTCACCTGTCCCTCCATTCCCTAGACAGCCCCAAGCCTGGGGGGGGGCGGGGAGAACTACTTATTATGGGTATAATCTAAGTTCCTTGTACCCTCTAAGGTACATTCAAAAGGATGGCAAATATTTTATTGCACTTCTCGATTGCCTTACTTGTTAACAGTGTTATGCTCCTACTGTCTTGATGGACTTTGCCTATATTTTTGATTGTGTGGTCCACACTGGATGAGTCAAGTAGCCTCTAATGAAACAGAGTTAAGGAAGCTTTGGCCTCTGACTAGGTTGGAGAAGCAAATAGAAGTGTTTGTGATTTCATGCAGTTGAGGCCAGTTAGTTGCTAATCATACAGTCCCTGAGGATTAGAGACATCAGAATTCAGTTTGTCAGATAATTGGTAGAGGGGTTGGAGACATGGCTTTTGTCACTATCCTCAGGACTTGAGTTCAGGCTCCCATGTGAAAAGCCTGGAGTTGTACCATACACTTAAAATCTGAGCCCTGAGGAGGAGTGATAGGAGAGACTGATTACTGAAGCTTCCTAGCCAGCCAGCAAGCTGAACTGATGAGAAGCTCTGCTCAGAAAGTACAATGGAGAGTGATTGTTGAAGATACCTGACGTCAACACCCTTGGCCTCCACACGCACACACATGTTCACATACTTAGACTTAACAGCACAACACATACACAAGAGGGAAAGGATAGACTGAGAATTAGTGAGTGCAGTAGCAGTGAGCAGTAAGTCAATGCCCATTTTGTGTCTAAGAACACACACACTTGGGTAGCTTGATATAAAGGATTTGGCCTGATGTTGGGGTGTGTGTTAAGGGTTTGGTTTGGTTTTTGCGCTACTCCAGCAAATCCTGCAAACTGGATAATTTGCAACAAGAGCCTGAGAAGTCCCAAATTAAGGTGTTGTCATCTTTCGAGGCCTTCTTGCTGTGTTTTCACATGGTGAAAGGCACCACATGATAGATGAGCAGAGAGAGTCATAATAAGAGTTCTTTATGAAAACCCAGTCCCACAATAATGGCATTAATATGCTGTAACATAAAGACAGTGTCTCTATGGCAGTACCCACCAACTTCTACCAGGAACAATGTCACACTTTTGTAATCCCAGATAATTGGCAAGCTGAAGCTGGGATCTCTGAGCCTGAGGCCTCAAGTTCAAGGCCAGGCCCAGTAACATAGTGAGCCCTGTCTTTAAATATATGAATGAAAGAGAACTGCTTAATATTATATTGGCAGTTTAACCTAAGCGTGGATTTTGTCTTAGCTTGGTGTTAATCTAGCAGAAAATGGCCAAGTATGCATTTTATAGCAGCTCTTAGAGGAAGAGTTGGGTGGGGAAAGAATGAAGGAGACAGACCCTGGGGCAGCAGTCCAGAAGAGAGTTGTGGAGGGCTCATACAGTAAAATCTGCTACTTTTTCAGGCTGTTTTGGATAAAGTTTAGAGAAATAGAAGAGCCTGCTTCTGATTTAGGCAAAGAGGCCAGTGGGGTGGATAATAGGATCTGTGTTTGGATAAAAGGCTTTGGGCCAAAGATGAATTTCTGAAGTCACCCATCGGAGCTGTCTGTCCAGAAGAAAGACTAAATGAAAGGATAAGGAACATATGAGCAGCTTCAGCTCTGCAAAGGAAGCATCTAGGAAAAAGCTAGTGAAGTGAAATTTAGTGGTGGAGTGAGTAGATGAGGCTTAAAGGGACACAGGTCACTAAACAGGCAGGGTGTGAGTAACACCTAGAAGGGATATAAAATTGATGGAATTCTAAGTGTATTTTTTGATATTTTGAAAACTTTGTATTTGAAGGTAATTTTAAATATACAGAAAAATCCTAAGAGTAAGATTAGCGAAAGGGGGGCTAGAGAGATGGCTCAGCTGTTGAGAGCACTGGCTTCTTCTCTTCCAGAGGACCAGGAATCAGATCCCAGCACCTATATGGTAGCTCACGGTAGTCTGTAACTCCTTTTCCAGAGGCCCTAACTCCTGGCTTCCTCGGTCACCAGGCATACATGAGGAATACAGACATACATACAGGCAATCATTTATATACATAAAAAATCTTTTAAAAAGTAGTGAAAGATA